CCCGCAGCTGCTCCCCCTTGCAGAGGGAGGGTGGCATGAGCAGTCGCAGTGGCCACAGCTCTTACCTTCCTGGTCATCTCCCTACCCTTGGTGCCACTTTGGTTCAGCAGTCAGAGCACTGGCCTGCAGACCGAAGGATCTTGGGTTTGTGCAGGAGGCAACCAAGCGATGTGTCTCTCTCACATGATGTCTTTCTCTCTCCCCCTCCCTCCCTTCCACTCTATCTAAAAATCAATGGAAAAATATCCTCAGGTGAGGACTGAAATAAATTAAAGAGGAGAGGTGGGGGGTGGAGTAGCAGTCCAGGGAGGGGGAGGGTTGTTGCAAACTCCCCACCCGGGTTTCCCCTGACACGGTGTGGTCTGGATAACAGGGTTCCAAAGCTGGTTCGGTGGGGGCCCCTCTGGCCGGCTCACCAAGCACAGGACTGCCTGACTTGGTGACTAAACCTCCATAGAAACAAAGCATGGTTTGAGCTTCCTTAAGGAATTAGCAACAAAAGAGTGAAGAAGTGAGTGATTAATTTCTAGAGAAACCAACACATAAATAGGCTCACATTATAACCACTTACATGGCATGAACAACCCCTCCCCAGCCCAACCTTGTCCCCCCAAATTCTCAGGCCTCAGGGCTCCTGTGACCATGCTGTGAAGTACTCCCCTGTTTCAAACCATGCTCGCTGGCAGCCCAGGGGTCCAGAGGGCCCTCAGAGGCACAGTAAGGGGTGGGGATGGGGTGCAAACCGAGTGGGGACATCTACCCCTCCTGAATCAAGGAGAGAGCTATCTTTACCTCTTTTATTTAGAGATCTGGATTGAAGCATTTGGCAGATAATGAGATGTTTGAAGAAAACAGTATCTTTGAGAATACTAAGGTATCAACAATGAAAAATAATTGGAATAGTTCAGAATGTACCATGTTTTAAAAAATTAGTGAAAGAGAAAGTTATTCTGCAAAGACAAATAATAGAAGTACGTATGGTGAAGAGCACATATGGGCAACTGTGGACGGCTTGGCGGCACTTGGATAGGTTTCTAAATAAGAAAATAACATCTTTCTGACCTTGAGGCAAGAAGGAAAACAACATATGATTTTAGGAGGTTCATGCTGAATTATTCCCATGTGTTGACTGAGAAGACATTTTTCAAATATTCTTTAGTAATTCCATTTATGTCATGAATTTAATGTGTGACAAGCCACTGTAGTAGGTGGTTTCCCCAAATGACATGAAATTCTATTCTAAGAACCTTCTTATGCCTTTAGGATCAACCTGTACTTTGTGGAGTGAAATTCATGGAAAACTTATTCCATGTATCCACCGATTTATCAGACTAGAAAGAATTATAAAACATAATTATCCATTCTTTTAGATGTATCTGAAGTTATACAGCAAGTAGGTAACTGGTGGGTTCATTTTTCTTTTAAAGTGATAGTTGGGTTTATGTAGATTAAACAGCTGAAGGACACATTTTTCTCCACATTCGAACTGGTTGTGCTGGTACCAGGCAGACACGACCACAGGGAATAACAGCCATGGATGGGGCAGCCTGGAACCTGCGAATCTCTGGCCAAAGCACTGAGGCTGGAGGGCTGCTCACCGGGTGCATGTGAAGACAGCAATGTTGACTGTACTATCTTTTAAAGAAACAGTCAGCATTCCTCCAGGGATGCTGCTGCTGAGCTGATGTTTACTGAATGCTCACCACATGCCGGAGCCCACGCTGGGCAGTCACCTGCATATCACCATGCAGCAGCAGGATTCTAGACAGCCCCAAGACTCGCACCCTAGGTTTATGCTCCCTGTGTAATCCCCAGGACTGTGAAAAGGATGGTTTTCATGCCTGTTATTGGGCTATGTTACATGGGACAGCTGTCTTTAAAAAAACGTAGATTAACTGGTAGGCTTAACCTTATCAAATGAACCCTTTAAATCTGGGTGCAGAGGTCAGCATCAGGGAATTCAGAGACGGGAAACATGAGAGATCTGATGCACCACTCACTGCCGACTTGACAACGGCGGAGACCACATGGCAGGAGATGGCCTCCAGCTGACAGCCAGCAAGAAAACAGGGGCCTCAGTCCTATAACCACAAGAAACTGAACTTGGCCAACAACCTGAATGGGCGGGAAGAGGCCCTAAACCTCAGAGGAGATGGCAGCCCCCGCCAGCACCTTGATATTAGTCACATGAGACCCTGAATAGAGAACCAGGCACGTTGTCCTGAACTCCTGATCCACAGACACTGTGTGATCATAACTTGTGCTGTTTTCAGCTGTTAAGTTTGTGGCAATTTGTTAACCAACAATAGAAATCACCCCATTTAATATTCATAATAGCCCTCTAAACTAGCTTCACCACTACAGCCTCAGGGAAATCATGAATTGGTCCAAAGTCATCCTTCACAGGCCCACTCACTGACTGACCCGTCCAATAAGGAGGAGTACAGACTTGTTTTACAGAATGAACTTCAAGAGGTAAACAGTCCTGCCTAAGGCCACAGACCACATGGTATTAGACCTTATGACAGGAACTGGGCCATGCATGACCCCGAAGCCTGTGCTCACCCAGTAGAGGGTATTTCACTTATGAGGACAGAATCTGCGGGACCAACATGAGCAAGAAGCACATGTCACAGGAAAAGCCCTAGTCAGTGCCAGCAGGTGTCCTTTCTGAGTTCACATGTTTAGAATTTTGCTCTCCAGGAGGGAATCAACAGCTGGCTCCACTCAAAAGGCTCTACTGCTGCTCATAAACCGTGAGTGTTTATGTCACGGGCAGAGCTCTGGGAGTGAGTTGGAGCCTTTTATGCACGGTATACATACAATATTTTCACAGGACAAAGAAACAGGGTTTGTAAGGAGTGTTGCAGTTGACCCTTCTTTCTGTCCTTTCTCTCCAGCCTTCACCAATCTCCAGTCTGTACTGCAGGCCAGCAGTCTGGTTTGTCTATCCATCACCCAGCCTTCTGACAGAGCCCAGGGAAGTCAACCAGTGCCATTTGAGAAGGAAGCTTTTAGACTATTTCTTCTTCCTAGCATGAGCTGCTGGCCTTTTCTTTTATTACATTTAAAATGGATCCTTCGTACTACAGTAGAAAACAGATTTTTTTCAACATTAGTTCAGATGTTTTCTTTAGACTGGTGTTAACATAAAGCAAATGTCTCTTGCGACTCTGAACCGACCTGTTAAGATAAACAAGCTTCACTTACAATATTCCCATACTGAAATCATAGGCTTGTGGTCTGCAACTCCTTAAAGACTCAATCATACATGCTAAAACGTCTGCTTCACACACACCCCAAGATAGCTTTGCCATGGGAACCACAAAGACACATCTGGTTCAGACTCCACAGCACATACCACAAATAACAGCCCATCTTCTAGGGGCAGATCCTATGTATACACAGGGAAAACCCAGAGAATTAAACAATTGCAGTGCCTCAAACATAAAACTTACTTTATAATCCCCTTTCAAGTCTGTTTCAAGGTATGCAAGTCTTAATCATTGTTATTAGTTATATTTGCATGCTTGTTTTTTTCCTTAAATAGAACTTCAGACTTGGGTGTCACGGCTAAACAGGGCAGCCACGGTGAGAAAGGGCACACTGGAGTTTCAGGTAACACAGCTCTACGTCCACAGATGCACCTGAGTTTCTACAGGAAGCCACTCTGTCATTATTTTAAAAATTCCCAATCCTGCTATAAGTGAAGGCCTTGCTACAGAAAGGATAGGGGATGCCAATGGATGTGCTGGGAGGGAGCAAGGTCTCAGGGAGGCATGAGCAAGAAGTCCTACTAATCAAGAGATTCCAGGTCTGGAAGGCCAGGTTTTGTTAGCAGGTACTTTAAAAGTGATGGAAGTCTGATCTCACCTGCTGGGCTATAGATTTCATGAAGACATAAACAATTTCTCATTTGCTTGTCATCGTATTCCCAGCATGGAGCACACTGCCGAACATGGTAGGTGCTCAATAAATACTAGATGAATGAGTGAAGAGGATGCTTAGTAGATAATTCTTCATTTGTGTGATTCTTTGGATCTGACCATCCTTCAGTTGCGATCACAGGTGTGAGCATATGGCTGTTCAGAGTGAAAACGTAATAACCACCTGCCACTCTGACTATGATTTTGATCCACTGTTGCTTCAGTCCAGGAGGCCCTGGTTCATGAAGACTGGTGTTCCACGTACTGAACTCTTAGTTACATTAGACACTCAGCGAGCTTCGCATCTCCCTACTCCCTCTGACTGAAAGCTTTGCACAGAGAGGCTTGTGTGCGATAGTTGTAACTCTCACCTCCAAACTCCAGCTAGCTCCAACCTGTATCAACTTCCCGAGCTACTTCCACGGGGATTTTGATAGTTCAAAGCTGCCTGTGCAGCCACTCACTTAATCAAGGAAAACGCGGGCCCTACTTTAGGCAATGGCCGCAGAGATGCAATGAAGTTTGTGATTCACTCTGTTCCTTCAAAGACATTATAGTCCCATATGGAAAACTAGGCACTGGATCCATGTATTGACCACTAAGCAGAAAAATCTGTTTAATGTCAGCTGAAATTTTCTATTTTTTTTTTAAATATGAAAGCAGCTGACAACATTCCCATCATTGACACCATTTATCTGATACAACCCTAATTCCTATCTAGTACTTCTCTAAATAGAGAGGTAGATTTCTGATAAATCCCGTAATTCATTAAAAACAACAACTGTCTCGCTGAGGAGGCTAGATAAGGGGTTGGCAAGCTTTTTCTATAAAGGGCCAAACAGCAATTTTTGGCTTTGCAGACCACATGCTGTCTGTTTCGATGACAAGCTCTAACATTGTAGCATGGGAACAGCCAAAGAAAATAAGTAAAGACATGAGCATGGCCGTGTTCAATAAACCTTTATTTAGCGAGGCACAGGGCAGGATTTGGCCTGTGGGTAACAGCTTGCTAACCCCTGAACTAGATAAACAAAATGTTCTTACCTGTAGGGAAGTAACAATAGATTCACTTACTTTGCTCTTTTGGCCATTTCATTTCCATCCCATCTGGGGCTGTACGGATAATTTTTTTGGGCCTGGGAATAAAGCTGTCCACTATTGGTAAAGTGATAGACGGACTGAAATGTGAGCGTCGGCTGATCTCGAGGGAAAAACAGGGGCAGGTCAACTGCAAACACAGAAAAAAGGAAAATAATGTTAGGGTTTAATTGCACCTTAATACACTTTTTTTGGCTAAATCTGAACGTTGGATACAAGACTCCATTTAAACCACAAATACTAGCTGAGGCTCAGGTAAAAGGTGTGGAGAGAAGGACCAAGAAATACAGGGTGCCTTCCCTGCCTTCAAGGAGTTTACAATCTAGGCAGAGAGGCATCATACACCAATGAAAATGTAACCAATCTGAGCACAGCATGTAAGTGCCGAAGAAACGCCATTTGAACTCGTCCTGCGCACTCACCTGTCCAGCGGTGCACAGTGGAGTCAGCTGTAAACCTGCTGTAAGTCTCTATTACACCATAAACTCTTCAAAGGTTGGGCAGTGTCTTCCTCACTACACCTGATGGAGGAAGTGGGATGGAGGCTGTCCTTCAATGAGTTCAGAAAGGGAATCATCTAGAGGGCAGCCGATAATCTTTCTATTTTACAGGATATGGCAACTGGACCCCCAGAAAGAATTAAGTTTATCACTTTACTTCCACTCAAGCAGTGAATTTTGACACTCAGCAGTTTCAAGTTTTTCCGAATATGTTACAATGATCTCCTAAGCAATGGGGGCTCCTTAATGCAATGCAACTGCTATAGTATAACGTGATTCTAATCTTTGCTGTTAACAAGTATTATGTGCTTTATCTATTCAATTGGGGTTCTTGAACTCCTTTTGTAAAAAGAAAATGACACTGTTTTCAGTTGAGGCAAAACATCACTGAAAACAGATTGTTTTAATAGCACCTCCTCAAGGTCTATAATGTATATTTGGGTGAATGTTACCACTTCTAGGACAAAAAACAGGCACATTAATTTATCAGAAATAATAACAAGAAAAACGTGCCTAGAATTTTCTAGCTTCGCAGAGTACTTCTACATACTTTATCTAATTTGACAGTTATAGCTCCATGAAGCAGACATTATTTTTACCACCTTGCACTGAACAGATGAACAAACCTGAGATGCTAAGAGGTTTATTCACCTGCTCATGCCACAGCTGGGCAGGAGCAGGACTCAAATCTAGTCTCATGATCTAAATCCTAAGCTCCTCCTAGGGGGCACATTGCCTTCTGCTCTTCCGGAGACTGGTATAACCTGCTCACCACACTCCCTATGTCACATGACACTTCAGTAAGTTCAAGCGTCGACTACGAAGGATGTACAAGGTTCATCTTTGTGGTGACATGAGACAAATATAGGAAAAAAAGAAACCTCACATACTAGATTGTTATGCCAGTTCAGGGTGCTTGACTTAGACTAGGTCCTTTTAGCACCCAGTATGATTTCTTGAAGACAAAGTTAGATTTGCAGGAAACTTAAAAAACATAACAAAACAAAGAAAACCCCCAAGCAATAAAAAACTGTCCAGTCAGTGGGGCCTCTTGGACCTCTGCGTGTCTCTGACTCTGACTCAGTGCTGCAGGGGTTTCTGCACATGAATCATACCACAATCAGAGAAAAGTGGCGAGATTCTGAATGTCCACTCTCCAGTCACACTTTCCACCTCAGTGCAGGCTCAGGGTCTATTTGTGCCAAAGCAGAGATTTAGCAACATATAGGAACAATACCAAATATGAAAAAGAGACTAATCTGAACTATAAGTAATTCAATCCAGAAAACCCTTCTGAATCCCTTATATTACAAAGCATGATCTGTAACCTCTTTAGTCATTTTGAATAAATACTGCTTCCTAAAATAAGTTTATATTTTTCCTGATTACTCATTTTATTTCTTCTGATTAATTTTAGAAAAAAAAAAAAAAAAAGCCTATTCACGTGTACTTAAATTATGTTTACATTAGGGGTAAGTTTCCAAACATAAAAAACAAGATTCAGATTAACCCTGGAAACAATCACCAAGAGCATAGGTGAAAAGTATATAACATGTAAGCCTCCATAAAAACAACAACAACAACAACAACAACTATTTTAAATAATAGAATTCAATGGTGATAGCTGAGTAATTTAAAGCAAACACAGTTATCATTCAGTATCAAAGTAATACAGATTAATACCACAGGCTTCATGATTCTCAAGCAACCAGCTTTTCGGGCTTTAAAATTCATCATAATTTTTATTCCTGATTTGTTTTGTTGAAAATGAGTTGTTGGTATTCTGGTTTGCTGGAAAATTATTTTCCTACTTAGTTTTGAACCATCCACTCTGTTCCCCTAAATGCCCAATTAGCATCAGAAATAATTCAAAACGTGAATGCAAATTTATTTACCTAGATAAGTGAATTGTTCTGATTAAAAAAAAATAAATGCCATCCAGGTATATGCTAACAGGTACCACGATCCCACAAAAGCATTGATTACATGATTATTTCTCCATGGAGATTTTTTTCTAAAAAAGTATAGTTGATGCCAATATTAAAATCCGTGCACAATGGCTGGATTATTAGGGGAGCAGTATGGTCAGAGTATTTCAGAGATAAAATCAGTGATCCACATACTAATTCACAGATGAGGAAATCAGAAAAAGATCCTGTTCAACTTAACTAAGTGGTATCCTGCTTGTATAAGTCAGCAGTCAATAAAAGAATGGCTTCTTTAAAAATGTCCTGGACCGAAGAAGGAGTTAATGAAAATATTTACGAGAAATACTTTGCATTCTTCTTGTAAGAAAGATTTGAATGGTACAAATTAGTCAGAACTGAAGAAAACAAACCTGTTTTCCTTATCCCTAATGTTTCTGTCACTTCACATCTGCCTATAGGTTAACTCATGACTTTCTGAGGCACAGTAAATACTGACTTTAGGCCTTCAACAGCTTACTTGCTCTGAGGGAACTCCCAGGTTCTAGGTACCTTGAGCTCATAGTTTCAGCTTTATCAAAATTATACATTTTAGCCCTGGCCAGTTTGGCTCAGCGGTTAGAGCGTCAGCCTGCGGTCCCGAGAGACCCGGGTTCGGTTCCCGCTAAGGGCACGTACTTCGGTTGCAGTTTGTCCCCGGCCCTGGTTGGTCGTGCGGGTGGCAGCCACTCGATGTGTCCCTTCACGTCGATGTTTCTCTCTCTCTCTTCCTTCCTCTCTCTCCCTCCCACTCTGTCTGTGCAAAAAATGGAAAAGTGTCCTCAGGTGAGGATTAAAAAAAAAAAAAAAAAAAAAAATTATACATTTTAACCATTTGCTTCCTTAGAACCAAACCCACCCACTGGCTCCTTGATTCTCCGAGTAGAATCATTGCATTTGGGTCAGTTACTCACTGTCTGTACTATTTTGACAACTGCTTTCTATTTCCTCCTTCCTGTATACAGAGGCTGAATTTTGGTCAGCTCTCTATCCACAGAAGGGATGGTCCTCACTTGTTCGGTATCATCTCAATAACCATTTTCAAAGCATTTCTTCAAGAACTCGTCGAAACAAGTCATACCCAAACACTTCTAATTCTGCACAACCTGGGCAGTCACGGGACTCCTTCTCAGGAGTGCGACGCCCTGGCACAGGGCAGGGACAGTGGAACGCTGCAGTGACAGTCCCCCAGTGCGGTCCCAGAGCTGCGGGAGCTCTCCAGGCAGCCAGCAGCCACGCAGCACTGCGAGGGAGCCCAGGGTGCCTCTCTCTGAGCCACGCAGGGTTCAGGTGGACAGATGCAGCCTCACCTTCTCTAGCACACCAGCCTAACTGTCCTGAAGGCTCCTCCTTTCAGCACAAGAAGACCTCACTGAAGTCGTATCGAAGTTCACAGAGCTCTTTAGAAACCTTATTTCTCCAAAACCTCAACAATGGAAAAATGACCCTGAATAGCCAAAAGAAATTTGATGCTGCGTGTCTGATCCACAGGACAGCTGTCAGACACTCAGAACATTTCAGACATGGTCTAACAAGTTTGAGTGCATAATTTTTTCAGAAAAAATCTAATTATGGAAAGATGAGGGCAAGGCATGCTAACAGCAAGTAGTGATAACTAGCAGTCTGACCCAAAGGAAGGAGAGAGAATAATAAATACAAGCAGACTCAGGAAATAAAAAAGAACCATAGGCTGGGGCCAGTTAGTGTAGGAGCACAAAGCTCAATGGTCCGTCAAGTTACGGCCATACAGTAAGTGATGTTCATCCCTCGTCCTGGAAACCATGGCAGATACTCCTGGTTGCTACCCCAAAGCCAACAGCCACTCCTCCTTTCATGGGCAGAGACCCTCCCACTCCAGAGTCTGAGAGTGCTGGACATCCACTCTCTCAGCCTTCCAAAGAGCCAAGGCCTGGGAGTGTGACTCAGTCCTGCCTCTGGGACCTGAGGGGAAGTTGGTTGGGGGTCTCCTGAGAAACATTTTTGTCTCTGATTAAAGATAAGTGTTGGGAGAAGCTCCCATTCCATTCCTGCCTTCGAGATCTTATCATGTGAGACATTGAGGCCAGGAGCTGTGCACCCATCTTGTGACCATGAGGGGAAAGTCAGCCTGGTATCACTGAGGTGCCCAATTCGTCATCCTTGCAACTGCCCAGCTCCAGGCTTTTCTTAGGTGAGGCGATTATACGTCCTCACTATTTCAACCTCTTTGAATCAGGTCTTCTCAGACTTGCAATCACAGACATCTCAGGAAATGTTATTTCTTGCAGCTTCTGTTCGAGAAGGCAGGATAATTGTATAATCTATTTCAGAAATATTTCCACCAAGCATGGCTAAAAAACATTCAAGGCACATAAATAGGAAAGTTTTAGATGTCTGGAAAATTCAGTTATGTGGGACAGTTCAATCCTTGAAAATGCCAAACAAATGAGGGGTTAACCATAATTGCTTCCCTGGGAGTCACATCATCAGATATTTTCATCATTACTCACAAGTCAGCCATTATTTCATCTCTCCAGGCCTTTCAGACTGCATGTTCCGTGCCTTCCCCAGTGCTCTTGGGCTCGGAGGGAAGACGCTCATGGATTCGCTTTGGGGTGGTTATGGCTGTGCTCCCATTTCCAGGCCTCTCCAGTTCCTCGAAGCCTCGTGAGGAGACCGTTTTAACC